TACTACGAGGTGACCTTGTAACCAGAAGGTCGTGGGTTCGAACCCCGGCGCGTGTGTATTGATGAAGCGCCGCAAATTAGAACGAAACAGCTGTTCAGTACTCCCAGATTCTCTAGCCAATGTCAGGTCATGATGAAATTCTGTCACCAATCAAATCCCTGCAAACCAGCAAGTGAACATTATTTCTTAGTACGCTCATATGTACCATCCAACAGTACAGTGAAAGAGGGCGAAAGGAGAGAATACATTAATATGATTATGAACAATAAATGTTTGCTAGAAAAGTCATCTCTATCACTGTGCATTAGATAAAATACACATATCTAAAATGAAGCTATGTCATGATGTCACAACACATATTATTTTGTGATAACATTTGAAACTGAAGTAGAATTGAGACTCCGATGCTTGACACAAACGTACTGAGCACAACTGCCGCTGGACTACTCCCCAACAATATTTTACTTCAGTTACCTATTTCCCCTAGTCTGCTCTACTTAAGCGGGAACACACAACGATATGAAATGGGAAGGATATTTTTGCCAGTGTCACTGTCGCATATCTACTAGGGAATATATATATATATTGGCCTATGGTGTATGCGTGAGTGAAGAGGCCAAGTTAAACTTAAAGTACCATTGAATTCAAATGGAGTGTGACCGGACTAATGACCTTGTAATGTTAAGTAATGTTATCATCATCAATAAAATATGCTCATCGAAGTGTTAGTTTATTAAATGGAATATTTGGAAAGTTTCAGCTTAGGTTTGAGAAAGATTAAGTTACGGTTTAGGCCAAGGACAAATTAGGGTTACGTTAAACCAACAAAGGTGACATTAGGGTTAGTTCAAGTTAGATTAAGTTTAGTTTAGGCATATTTTCACGTTAGGGCTAGGTTCCGGGAAGATTCGGGTTACTGTTTGGGTTAGAAGACCTAAATAATTACTTGCAGAGAATGTGGTCATGTTGTTTTGTTGATATAAGAATAGAACTTGTGCACTATGGTTCAGTATAATTCTTTTATGGGTAAAATTTATTCTGATAAAGTCTCAAAGTGTTATAAAGTGATATTTACTGATGGCGTTTTGAGCATGATTTATTGCCCATTAAATATTACTGCATAACACTGTGAGGCTTTATCAAAATAAATTTTAACCACAATGGAATTATACTCTGTTGATACTCCAACCTAAAACTGAGAGCTACTTTTATCACATGTCAGGGGAAGGTATCCTTTGTTACACTTTCATACAGTTTTTATGTATTTTTCATAAATATAAGTATTCCATACGCAGAAATGCCTCCTTCACGTGAGTGGTGCGTTCAAGGTCATTCGCTGATTGGCGGTGCTTAAAGTTTAAATTTGCCAGTGAATATGCCGATAAATCGATATGCACTTGGCCAAGAACATAGGAATGAGTGACAGTATCCATACATATGCATATACGGTTTCTTTCTAGACTGACTTCGATCTCCATATCATCCATGAGACGATAATCCATCGTTTATCTGTCTACATATCAAGTTATTGATATTACTGTTCTGCCCGAGGTTGAAGTGGGTGGAGAAGGACTTGAATCTGTGACCAATTTGTTGAGAGCTAAGCGCCTAACTCACTGAGCTACTGCTTCACTCACACCTCTGAGTACATTAAAGAGAATGGTTGAATAACTCTTTAAACACCATTTTTTTTGTCATTACATATTGGTTTCACATGATACGTTTATTCTCCCTTACTGAATTCATCGCTATTATTATTATTACTGACGTCATTGTTGGTAATGGTTACCTCTCCTAGGCATACACAGCATATATGATGTAACTCACCACAACACCACTTCACTCACCTTTGTGAATTTTTGTAAAAACAAAATTTGTAAATTTTATTTCCTACTGAAAATAAGTTTTTAATGATAATCAAAAGATGATTTTATATCTAAATGAGGACAAAATTAATTAGTATGACTGACAGTGTGGTTTCCATAGTGATATGAATATGTTTTTCTACAAGTTGAGGTTTCTAGCCCCACACCCAAACTTCTTTTTCTTCCAGGTTCATGACCGGTAATTTGACTAGGTGAGATGAGGTCAGTGTGTGTGTGGGTGGGGGGTGTATTTTCATCAAATGCCCTCCTCCCCCTCCAATTAAAAAAGGCAAGATTACATTAACTTTATTTGATTACTAACGCTACTGTTCTTACTTTGTTTTCCTGTCTTTTGTGTGTGTTGTGACTGCTATAGTGAGTTTTCAAAAGAAAGAGAAAAGGCTAAGAAACGTGGAAAGTATCAAAAAGCCAGGGAACAAATGCAATTCGAAGAAGATGTTCAAGGCTATCTGGATTGGATCAGTGCAGCTGAAGATATCAGTGATGATGAAGATACGACAAATAAAGAGGATGAAAAAGAGAAAAGTAATTTTACTTTGTTAATTAATTAATTTATTTATTGATTGATTTATATGTTGCTTACTGAATCTGTATGTTCTAAGACTAGAATTCAACCCATTGACATCAGTTTTTCATTTTTTTTCCTTCACGTTCCCCAGTGGAACATAAGGCTTCAAGCTAGTGACTTGAAGTTTCTCTGGCAGTATTTATTTTACAGGATTGGGTTGCTAGCCTCATGCCCAACCTTTCCTCTTCACCAGCATTATTCCTGGCTTAGTGAGTCGGCCGGGGATCGAACCTCGGACCATGTGCATGGTCGGCGAGCGTCCTAACCGCTATGCCACCGAAGCACGTCATAGATATTATCAATCGTTAACACTTACAGTCACACATATATGTGAAAAGTAGGGCACTGTCGATGTAGTCGCCTTCTCTGGGCTGAATGGTTTGTTCGTCTTTCTAGACAACATCTTCAGTGTTCACTGAAGGCTGGGGTGATTAAGCCTTCAGAAGTCTTCATCAGTAAAGCAACCGCCACACACACAGTCTCTCTATCTTGGTGACTTTGAATACGATTCGTCGTCTCAGGAAATTTTATTATCTTCGTCTCAACTTCTATCGGCATTGACGAATCTGTTCACTTGATATTTGACTTTTTGTCTGTTTTTATGTAAGCTTACTCTATTCCATATTTTTTTATTTATTAGATAGAAATACATCACACACAGTGATGAAACAGTATTATTTACTGGATGACAAAGTTTCGCACAGAATATATTGCTGCTCCTAATCAGATCATCAATTATAACCATACAACTTCGAAACTTGAGTTTTATAGTTTCCTTTATTCTCTCCTGTTTGTCGTCGTTGGGGGTAGTAGAATTTTCCAGATGTCCATCTGGACAAGTGTTGATTCATTTCTGTTACACGTGTTTGCGGTTGATTCAATAAATAAAGCGCCCGATATCATTCTTTCTTCTCACTCTGTTATATTATATCTTAGAACTGTCATCTTATTCCATCCTATAGTATGGTTGTGTGTAGTTGCATGTAGTGGTATCTTATTCCATTAGGGTCAACTGATCTAGATTTTACTGGTTTTTTGTCTGACTAGTCTGACTGCACCTGTTCTACTACTCTGACCTATATATATTTGACCTGACAGTCATTCCGGTAGAGTATTAGATAAACTAAATTGATTGAATTGCCTCTAAAGGATCCTTTAAGGAACCTTTAAGCTTGTTTTTAATTGAGGCTGTGGGTATGAGCACTACTTAAGAGTTCCCCGTAAGGTTTCCGAGTTTCCTTCTTTGTATGGAAGTCCCACTGGTGATTGAAATTCTTTATTGTTGATGTCTTCATGCATGCTTATCATACATGTCGTCATTATTGTTATTGTCATCAATCTTACATTTTCCTACATACTTTCTGAATAATTCATTCAGGGAATTATTAGGCTTCAAAGCTTCTCATACATGTCTCACTTCCTGTCTTAGATTTTCCTTGGTTGAGTTAAACCCGTATGCTCGTATACATATATATATATATATATACATATGTATAGTACTAATGGTCAACAGCACTAAGCATCAAAAATAAGATCCGGATTTTCAACTCCAATGTGAAGTCAGTGCTACTTACTAAAGGGATCAGAGACTTGGCGCCTCGTAAAGAGCACCTTAAACAAACTACAGACCTTCATTAACAGCTGTCTTCGCTCAATACTCAAGATCAGATGGCCAACCAGGAAAGATCATCAATAGGGATCTCTGAGAGCGAACCAACCCAGCAGGAACCAACTGCGCAACAAATGTGCAGGAAGAAATGTAGATGGATTTGCCATACTCTGATGAAGCCATCAAGTGACATCACTAGACAAGCCAATGCTCGAGTGTAACCCGAAAGGGAAGCGGCGAGTTGGTTGTCAGTGCGAGGGTGACATGAAGAGGGTCATGTGAAGAGGAGATGAAAGCATGTGGGCAGACTTAGAGCCAGGTGAAAACGTCGGCAGAGAAGCGAACTCAATGGAGACGCGCGGCTGAAGCCCTATGTTCCTCTAGGAATTAAAGGGAATAATAATATAATAATAATAATAATTGAAATGAGTAGTTGGGAACGATAGTCAGGCGTTTTGTTTACCTTGTGTTCTAGCTATAAACCATTCACTTCAGGCTTAACATAAATGTGTTCCAACTACTCACATTAATCAATCATTCAGTAGTATATTTGACAACAGTAATACCATCACGCGATGATATTACTTCTAACCAACTTTGTTTTTGTTCTTTTTTTAAATAATCCATCAACATATTAATTTATGATAATCAGTTTTTTTCTGCAGTTCATAATGATATAATAATGCAATAGATAACCTGATTGATCGATTAACAAATAGAAAGGAAGGTTTGAAGTTGTTTCTTTTTTAATGTTTTATGAGTTGATTACAAATGATTATTATTTATAGTCCCAGTCAACATAAATCTGGAATATCTTCAATTCGTTGAAGAGATGATCTGTTAGTACTGATAGTACTTTGACAAAAAAACAACAACATTTGTTTCTCGTTTAGTTCGTCTATTGTAAACTATATTAATATTAAATGGTATGCATAATAAGTTAGTCTCTGACTGTCTACTATCAGTGTGCTAGTTAGGATTTCTTCTTTCAATCTGCTTTGTATCAATCGTGAATAGTTCAGTTCTTATAGAAATCAATTATCTGTAAGGAATTTTTTTTTGATATAACAGGCTATAAGTTATCATTATTATTATTGTTCCTATGGGTTCCTAGTGGAACATAGGGTTTCAACTACACGTCTCCACTTGTTTCTGTCTTCTGCTGTACTTTTCACCTGCATCCATGCTAACCCATACTGTTTCAGCTCCTCTTCACACGATCTCCTCCATGTCACCCTTGGACGTCCCACTCACCGCTTCCCTTTCGGGTTTCACTCGAGCTATGGCCTGACGCGCGATGTCACCCAGCGGCCTAACAGGCTATAAGCCACAGTTAATATTGTATGGTGATACTGCTCAAGTCAGTAAGGGGGGTGGATGATTCGAACCCAGGACTCGTTGACTACAAGTTGGTTGCTTAATCCAAAGAACCATATCTTCATGTTTACCATTTAAGATGCATACAAACTCTAAAACACGTTGGTTTTTGTAGTAACAGGGATGATATCACATACCAAGCATTCGAGTAGAATTGGCTGTTTAACTTCATCATAGATATGCTAATGGAAGTATCCTTAACTGAACTTAACGACTTAGGAATCGACTTGTTACCAGGGAATAGTCTTATGGACTTAGAATATGCAGATGACATAGTCCTGTTAGGGGAGGATGCTGACAAAATACAGAGTCTTCTGAACACCTTGAGGAGCAATCTTCGTATGTTTGGCATGCGATTCGCCCCTGTAAAATGTAAGATGCTGTTACAGGACTGACTAGACTACGTCAACTCCTAGCCTAGTGATAGGGAGTGAAGTGATAGAACATGTTGACCACTTCACCTATTTGGGAAGTTGTATCAGCACCAATGGATTGATTGGTGACGAAATCTCAGCACGGATCCAAGAAGCTCGAGTTGCTTTCGCTAACTTACATCATCTCTGGCGTAGACGTGACATCCGGCTATCAACCAAGGGACGTGTATACTGCTCACCAGTTTGCTCCGTCCTTCTCTATGGCTCTGAAACATGGACAATACGAGTTGAAGACATGAAAAGGTTGACTGTTTTTGATCATAGATGTCTACGATCTCTTTCTCACGTTAGGTGGCATAATAATGAAGTAAGTAATGTTGACGTTAGGCGTAGAGTGTTGGGCAAAGAGGGAAAATCAATCGAAGAGGCTATAAAGTTACATAGATTGAGATGGCTAGGTCACGTGCTGGGCATGCCTAACCATCGCCTCCCCCGACGTACGGGCATTACTAGCTGATATAGGTGCAGGTTGGAAAAGAGTAAGTGGTGGCCAAACAAAAACATGGCATCAACCCATGAAATCCTTGACAGTTAAACCGAGTCAGGTAGGGTGATGCAGACTTCCGGGTTGGGGCCCGCCCTCGGGACTCTAAGAATCAATCAATGGCTGGAGACAATAGGTGACATGGCTCAAAATCGTTGTCAATGGCTTACGCAGATGTATTCAGTCTCTGTAATCTTTCATATTCCTTTCTATCATTACCCATTCTGTTTCACTCTTATACTTGTCAAAACTCTATTGATTCTCTTCACTTATCTTCTTGTCTACCTTTGTGTGGTATTTGGAACGTGGCGACTCAAACTGTTGCACTTTGGTGCCAAGTTCTATGCTGAATCCAGACAGACAGACAGGGTCACAAGACGGGGATCATCTGACAAGAGAACGGGAGCTTGTTGGCAGTCGTAAAGCTAGTTAAGAAAGACTGTATATGGTGTGCTGTTGATGCCTTATGTTCCATTGGGGATCCGAAGGTCGGTCGGTCGGTCAGTTTTCGACATAGAACTTTGCACATATGTGCGGCAGTTCAAGTCGCCACACTCCATGTAGCACACAAAGCAAGAGAAGAAAGTAGAAGGGAAAGTAATAATAATAGCACTAACTTGGGTGATTACAATCGTCTTTTTTGAATAGATAAATAAACGTTTTCAAGTATTGGTTTGTAGGGATTTGGTTGATTGGTTACAGGATTTCAGCATTAGCTGACATTGGTTAGAAAACCACTGGAACAACTGAGAGTACTGGACAGCTGTTTCCTTCGTCCTAGTACGCACCCACCGTCAGGGTTCGAACCTAGAACCTTCTGGTTGCAAGGTGAGCTCATAAACCATTAAACCATTCGGACCCGATCCAATGTCCATGAATTCTAACGTTTGCCAATTCACGACATAGCACGACCTTCAAGTATTGGTTTGTAGGGATTTGGATGATCGGTTACAAGATTTCATCATGAGCTGACATTGGTTAGAGAACCGAACCACTAGGGATTACTGGACAGCCATTTCCTGCCTCCTACTCTGGGAATCTTCATCATTACTTAACCACCACAGGGGTTTGAACCCAGGACCTTCCGGTTACAAGGCCAGCTCGTAGACCATTAAGCTACTGGGACCCAATCCAATGGCTTGCCCATGAATTCCAACTTCTGCCAATTCACGACATAGCGCGACCTCTTAGCCAACGTCTTCGGCGAGTATCTGCACCCTACTGGTCACGACTTCCCTGTAGAATCCAAGTTAGCTTTTTCATTCTACTCACTTTGACACATGGATTATGAGATTGTTTCCTTTTTTCTGTGATCCACCTTCCCTTAACAAACATATATTACTGTTTTTGATGGTTGAATTTTGCCTCTTACATTTCGTACTTATTTGCTCTTGTTTACAAGGAGTATCCATAAGCTACATAGAGCTGACGTAACATTGGAAATGTGAACACGTGTTGCCTAATGCCACAGACTAAGATATAACCAAGAATTGGATATACTTACTGGTCATTATGGTGTAAACGATATTTTATGCTTTCTAATCCTTAATACCAGCTGAATACTATCGAGCAATATAAAGTGCTCTGTTGGCGTCAAAGTTAAGGAACAAATACTATAGTTCGGTTAGGTAGAATAATTATTCCTGTCTGATTTAATAGTTCGTTGTTACAAGCAACAAATTAGTCAGAAGACATGCTTACCTGTTTCTTATTCTAATACTAAGAAGCATTGGTTCTGATTCCGATTATTTATCACTTTTGATAGGAATTACCATGACTCCTAATTAGAAGTCATAATTAGCTAAGTATGTGGAATCATTTGGGAAAATCATCCCGTGTTCGTTTGTGTGTATGTATGTAGGACCTTGAAGAGGTACAAGAAATCAGATATTGGAGATTCAGCATTACTCCTTGCAGTCAACCACAGATTCTGCATTTACTAATATTAAAGCTCTCAACATTTCGATAACCTTTACTTTATTTTATAGTGTTCTCTTTATGTATGATTTTTTGTGAAACTTGGAAGATCGTTCGAATCGATTATTGTTAGGTTTTATGTTCCTGCGTCTCCATTTCCTATGTTTTCTCTAGATATCTTAATTGTGTCTACTACTATATACTATTGATTGGTTCGAATGAGTAGTACGATATCACCTCATATCAGTGAGTAGTGTATGTTTAGCCAGCTGGATCGAGGTTGTCTTAAAACACAGCATGAATGTGTTTCCCTCGTTTAAGGCCGAACTTATCAGCATTGTCCTCGATTTTATTCATCTCATAGAGAGTCAAGTTAGTCATAACACAATCACTTCCTGCGGAGTCCAAATTGAGACGAAACGGGTATCCTAGATTCTGTTGTTAGCCAAACAGGCAAACAAACAGCATAAAATCTTGTGTTTTATTGTGTGATTTTCAATATATAACTTTTGTGGAAAGTAAACTATTTTAGTATTTTATAGAATAAGGAGGGGGGTGGGTGGTTGGAATTATGAATTTTACAAATACTGAAGTATTGTTTAACACTTCTGATTTACAGCAGTAATTATCAATGCGTTGTTCTAATTCTTACTATTTTTCCCTGCTGAAATAGAATTTCGTTGGTGTGCTGCTTGTCGTTCAACATCATCATCATCTTCAACACCTGATGACTATGAAGAGGAAGAAGAAGATCCATCAGAACATGGTATGGATGACGGAGGTGGTGGTGGTGGACATCGTGGTCAATCGTCATCACAACAACAGCAACAATATTTTTTCTGTATTCCATTGAAAGGGTAAGTCTTTGCATTAAACAGCTGTTTTATGATTCGTATTTCAAGTTAACGCCAACAGAAAGGCAGTGTTCAGTGAAATATGCACTTGTTATCCTGTCTCTTTAATATAATAATAATAATCTACTTTATTCCAAAAAACAGTAATTATAATACAGAACGGAATTCTCAGCATTTATCACAATATTGCATCTGATCCGGATTTTCAACTTCAATGTGAAGTCAATGCTACTACATGGATCAGAGACTTGGCGCGTCATAAAGAGCATCTCAAACAAACTACAGACCTTAATTAGCAACTGTCTTCGCTCAATACTCAAGATCAGACAGCCGGCCAGAAAAGATCAGCAACAGGGAGGGATCTCTGGGAGCGAACCAACCAAGCAGGAACGGATTGTGCAACAAATAGGCAGGAAGAAATGGAGATGGATTGGCCATACTCTGAGGAAACAATGCATCAAGTGACATCACTAGACAAACATATGAGTGAAAACCGAAAGGGAAGCGGCGAGTTGGTCGTCAGTGCGAGGGTGACTTGGAGGAGGTCATGTGAAGCGGGGATGAAAGCATGTGGGGGGCAGACTTGGAGCCAGATGAAGACTCTAGCAGAGAACCGAAAGCGATGGAGACGCGTGGCTGAAGCTCTATGTTCTTCTAGGAATGAAAGGAATGATAATACTTGAAATATAAATATAATTAAAAATTAAATCAAATTTAACCAGAGGAATTTGTCCACATTTACGGTATAAGGTCAAAAATATTTGAAGTACAACATGAGGATAATAAACATAATAATAATAGCAGTGAATTTGTGTCAAACAGTATTTTCGATTCAGTTTGGGAAGTTTAGCATGTTATAGATTATTGAATCTAATGTTCTGCTGAAATAGCATGGTGAGAGGGAAATACAAAATTAACAGTTATAACACATTTTAAATGATATTCACACTTATGAAACAATAAACAAATAGAAACAAAAAAGTTGAGAGGATTATAAATATAAGAAATACAATAACAATAAAGCTTGATGTTATAAGGGTGGAGGAAATGGTTTATTTACTAGTGGTAAGAAGGTTAGTTAGTTCATGTCTAACACTATTTTTGCCAAATATGGTATAATGGAATTTTTGTGCTAAGACGTATTTGCATAAAGTCTTCTGAAAAGACTTCTTATTTCACCTGAGGAGGAGATACAAAGTTGGAGCTGTGGGTAAAGTGGATGCTCACAGTCTGAAAAAATTCCCTTAGCAAATTTGTTGCATGATATCAAGTGCCTATCAGTGACCATGTCAACGATATGACCCAATGGGATACCACTCGCCCTACTGACAGTCATCAGAGTTCTACGAAGTATGACATAGTTCTTTTTAAGCAATCCAGGAAAATATAAGAATGAACAGTAAAGAAGAATAGGTAAGATGCACGAGTTGAAAAACTGTAAGAGTAGAAGGGGTTGGGTTATGTCTGAGTGCCTTAACTTCTTAATTTAAAACGTCAGACGGAGTATTTTTTTTAGAAATCGCTAACACATGGTAAGACCAGGATAGGTCAGTAGAAAGAATTAATCCAAGATACTTAACTTCAGACTTGGTTTCTCTATCAATACTCAATAGCTTACTTCTGTTCTCTGTATTTTAGCAGTATTTAAAGGTTAAATGGTCAAAATATTGTTTAAATGCAACTTTATTTTCTATATCATATGCATGGAGGATGTCATCATGAGCTGACATCAGTTAGAGAACCACTGGAAGACCTGGGAGTACTGGACAGATGTTTCGTCCTAGTTTGGTGCCCTTCAGCAGTACGCGCCCACCTTCGTTATCCTGAGGTCTGAAGATTAACTTCCACATGGTTACCAACAGATTGAGGCCTTATAAACGTGGGAAATTCGCCCAAGTATTCCTGTTGAATGACCATGAGCAACATCTATCATCATATTCCACTGAGTAACAGTGCCATGTAATTTAGCTGTATAGGTATATTACATAACTGTTGAGTAGATTTGGTTAACACGCTTAGAAAATTCGCTTACATAGGATTGTGTCAGATTCTGATCCTTCGCATTCAAACTGTACCTGCTTTATATATCTGAAGTTATACTGAAGAAAGGGTGCGTCGGTGGCATAGCAGTTAGGACGCTCGCCGACCATGCACATGGTCCGGGGTTCGATCCCCGGCCGACACACTCCTTTACCTCCCTAAGCCAGAAATAATGCTGGTGAAGAGGATAGGTTGGGCATGAGGCTAGCAACCCCATCCTGTAAAATAAACATTGCTACAGAAACTTCAAGCCACAAGCTTGAAGCTCTATGTTCCACTACGGAACGTGAAGGAAAAAAACAGCACTACATATCCGTGCTGAAGAGATGAAAACTAAAACAAAACATTCGTTTACAATTCTCTGATTTTCAGCAGTTATTCAACCGATATTAGTTCATGTTTAAACAGAAACCAATCAAAACCCTCTAAACTGTCACTTGTTTTGTCTATCTTGAGTGTTTTCAACGGTTTCACACATTGAATAACAGCAATATTATTGTTATTATTCCTTGAGCTCCATTCGGGACATAGGGATTCAACAACACATCTCCACTTTGTTCTCGCTTCTGAGGTCCTCTTTAGGTGACCCCACGATTTTCCATAGCTTCTCACTTTCTCTTCACACGATCTCATCTGAGTTACCCTCAGAGACCAAACTCGTCGTTTTCCATCTGAGTTCCACTTGGGGGGTATGCCTAGCTCATGATTTCACCCAACAGTCTCCTCAGAGTGCTTCGAAGTTATTTTTGACCTCCTCTCGACTGATTACACTGGACTGGAATTTTCAGTCTGTGTTGACAGGGTCAGATGCTAGTATGGATGCTTCGACAATGAGTGCTGGTTGTGAGTTTCCCCTGTAACACTATAACTTACTGGAGATGTGGGTGAATCCAGCTGATGAGTTTGCGAAATGCGCATCTTGCATTTCACTGTTAGCCACCGCCAACTGGTTGACACTAAGAGATTAAAATTTTACCCTTGAATGTTGTTTTATTTTATTCATTGTAAGATAAAACACAGCTCATTTCATTATAACAGTAGAGTGATATATCCCTGGGATGTTGATGAGTTAATAATCGTCTTTAGACATCATAAAAGCGTCTGTATTCATTAGTGTTAGTATTAAAGGTTTGGGAATTGGAATTACAATGTTTTACGTTTACTTCAAAAATTTGTGGTACAAGTATACGCTTTAAATGGAACACACAGGTTTAATCACGATTAGACATCATTTAGAGAAATGCTGGAAAGCCGGAGAGTACTGGACCACTGTCTCGTCTTAGTTCATGACACTTCATCAGTACCTTCTCCTCTGCAAGGTTCGAACACAGAAACTTGCAGGTACAAGGTGGGTTAGTAGACCATTCAGCCACTGGGGGCCCATACAATAACCCATCATTCCTAACATCCTATAATATATTGCACAACCAATCAGCCAATGTCCTCAGCGAGTAACTCTTCTCCTGTCTAATTTGATAGACTCCACTGGTCAAGACCCTTCAATAAAACTCCAGGTAACTTCCTGTATAGTTCCAATTGCTGGTAAGCACCAGACTAAGCATCAGTTAGAGAACACCATTTGAAACTTAAAACTTATTGAATCTTTTCATAAATCAAGCTTCATTTTTACAATATACGTATTCATCTCCCTTTAATTAGGAGACGATCTCGACGATGGAATCGACGTTGTCGACGTTCATGTCGACGACTGGTTAAATCGCAAACATTCTATTGGATAGTTATTGTTCTTGTCTTTCTTAATACCGGTGTTCTTACATCAGAACATTATGGACAACCTTTATGGCTTGATGATTTCCAAGGTAACATTTTTTTGTTCAAAGTTATTATTATTATTATTAATATTTGACAGTTTTATGAATTCCTCCTCCCAACTTCAATTGAAAACGAAAATTCATTTGTTTGTATTTTCGCTTTTTTAACTATTCACCCCTCCGTAACCACAAACACCCTCCCGCTGCCCGAAAAACATGTGCTACATGAGATGAAGATTGTTTATTTAAACAAACAAATTTCCCACTTAATTTGAAGTGTTGGAAAGGGGAAGTAAGCAGATACTAAGTCAATATTTACAAGAATTTAAACCGATGTCTTTGTTATCCACTTTAAGAACTGCTTTCTTACTACAGACTAAGGTACTTTCGAAAATTAGCATTAGAAAGCAAAGTTCTAAGAATGGACAACAAGTAATTTTCAATAGCCTTTAAAATAAAAAATTTCCTTCCTTTGAGTAGATACTCTCAGATGACGACAAAAAGAAATATTAATTCAGCATTTGGAGTAATCTTTTTTTAAAAAATAGGGTTTCTACGCATCTAAATCATATTACACAGAAATACTTTGAATATTCTTCAGAGTGGAATTTAAAAACCAAGAGAGATTGAATTTCAGTAATAACCTCTCTGAGTGAATCACTAGAGAGTTTAGATAGGCCAAGGTGGGGAGTAACGTAGGGCTTTTATTTCAATTCCATTCAACTCCTTAACAGCAATTTAAGTGTACCGCGGTGATGAATCACTTAGCTCGCTAACTATGCGGCTAAATCGACTGAGAGAATTAAAGTTTGATGATATTAGATAGATGGAGGCAATCGGCCACAGGAAGCCTTGTTTGACCTAGGTTTCGTGCTAGTTGGCACTCATCAGCAAGGCGTATCTGCAAACTTGAAGGAACTCATGTCCCCCGTCTGAGATTCGAACCCGCGGTGTCACTCAGTGGTGCAGTTAGAGACGTTACCACTGGGCTTTAAGGTTGCAGATACGCCTGCCTTGCTAACTGATGAGTGCCAACTAGCACGAAACCCAGGTTCAAGGCTTCCTGTGGCCGATTGCCTCCAACTATCTAATATCATCAAATCAATGTGCACCGTGATGGCGAGCTACCTAGTGGCATGGTGACCACATTGCAAATACCTGACTTATAGAATTCAGTCTGCACCAAAGAAAGCACTAGACACGTCACACTAGTTACTAGTGTCCAATCAGAATTAAAGTTTGATCAAGGGGATTGACATCATTTAAGGGAACCACTGAAAAGCAAACAATTCTGAACATATGTTTCGTCCTAATCTTGGACTCTTCAGTGGTAAGCGACCATGACTCCACCTTGGAATTCAGGTGACGTCACGAACTTGTTAACCATTTAGCCACTGGGATGGAATCCGATAGCCTATAAATTTTAACTTTTGTCAATCCCTGGATTTCAATAGCCTTGCTAGTCAATTTCACTAACGAGAATTTGTCCTCACATTCAATTTGATGAACCTGGTTAGTGACAACTTTAATGGTCCCTTAATCGATATCAGTTAGTAATCAAAATTGAAACCAGTTGATTAATTCTGTATCATTGATAGATATTATAGTACTTCATATGTTTATCAGTAAATGTCCACTGTAGAACTTTAAAAAAAGGTAAAATGTCTGTTTAGTATTGAACGATACGTGACACTTCATCAGTTGATGAAGATTTAATGAGAAGAATACGTCCTGAGGTGAACCAAACTATTGATTATTCATTCTTTTTTATGTGTTATATTTTATACACTGTTGAATTAGTTTCAATAACCTGAGAAACATACGTTAGGCGAAAAACAGCACCGCGCTATCTTAATTAATTTTGACATAAATGTCCCTGAGACTGTCAGGGGAAATAAAACTAGAACAATGAAATAAATATTCAAGCAGGGGGGTATTCTCCACATTAAATAAAAGTCTGTCAAAACAGAATGTCCTGTTATCTTATTTTTCTGAGGTTTTTTATTTTATAAAAGAAAAATTAAACCTGAATATATATGACAGTAGCTACTATTCTTGCCCTGATTTACGGTTAGATGTACCGGACCAGTGTATAAAGGACTGAGTGTAGGGAATGAAATGCCTTGAAATGAGAACTGTCTAATTGAGAAACTGTCATCTATTTAATGACTTTGGAAATGTCTTCGAAAAATACCGCCAAATGAATACAAAATAGGTACAACTGAGAGACTGAAGATAAGAATTTAAAGTGATGGTGGTATCTGTAAACTGTTACCATTAAAACTACAATGAAAAGATAAATAAAGGAGGGAGAGAACTAATACCAGTTAGGGGACCATTGACAACCATGGAATACTGGGTAGTCACATCGTCCTATTTTGAACAAGTATTGTAACTAGAGAAGACGAGGGATTTGTTAAAAAATTTTTTATGCATTTTTAGCCATTTTTAAGGTCGGTTAAGTCGGTTCTGATTAGTTGTTGGTTGTCTGAAAGTTAAACTATGTGACGAGCCGTTGTCCAATGAGATTATTTCCTGACCACAACGTAAACTGAGTCCAGATATCAGGAATAAACATTTCTACTTCTTAAAATGTCATTTCCTAACAGTTGGTGTCTAAATACTACTATTGGTAAATCTTGTGAGTAGCACACGCCACAGTTTGATCTCACTAGGTGTCGAACCATAGACATTCATGGTTCAGCATATAACCACTGACTTGGTGTCCTGTCACCTGTCAGTCCGGATTTTTGTCAGTTTACTAACACTGTCTTGTGCCGCTGGTAAACAAACATCCACTTCACTCGCGGCATTCTGATTCTTACACTATTGTGGATTCATGGCGAAACCTACACTGGAAATTAAATTATTTTTGTATTTCTGTAGTACAACAAAATTGAGGATTAATCAGGTTTTAAAGATAATGGAAATAAGCCCAAACTCACGCTTCATGTTGAGCACATGTGCAGGTTAGACTACTAAAAAGACAGTTGCATCAAAGAAAATTCTATTTTCGATGAAGTTACCAACTAGATAGCTATACATTCGTGTGATAGCTTTGATTGGATCTTGTATATGAATTTGAAGCAATTTCTAAATTCAGCTGGATATCCTGAATTCATCAAATGTTCTCTTCCTGAATTATATGCACACTTGCATTCTCCCTTTACTGAATAGTGTTCCCTAGTGCGTTTCACAGGCGAATGCATGGTACGCTTTAATGTTCTCAGCTCCACGCGAGCACGTGAACTGGTATATGGACAGTGTTGAAGAAGTGGCCAAATGCCACAGTTTGTCGTTCACGTACTAGTTGAAGATTATCAAAAGCTTTAAATTTTTACTATTTTAATAATAATAATAATAATAATAATGATTTACTTTATTCCAAAAACAGTACTTGTGATACAAAATGGAATTTTCAGCATTAATCACAATAATATTGCATCTAATTTCCTCAAATTATAAATAAAGCTAATCACACAGAAAATTTTCCACATTTACAATAGGGTTAATATAATGAAAAATAGAAAACATGCAGCATTTAGATGGAAATAATAGTAATGATAGCAGCTAAGGTAATGATAATAATGCAAGTGGAAATTGCCATGGGCTTGTTTCACACAGTATTGTCGATGTGGCATAGAAATCCTAGCATGTTTAAAAATATTGAATATAATGTTCTCTTTACATGATATGGTGAGGGAAAAAACAAAGATTACAGCAGTCATAGAGATAAGTTGTTGTTTGCAATTATGAAAGTAAAACAAAGAAGCAACAGGACCATACATATATTAGAAATAATAAAAGTAAAACTTGAAGGTATATAAGGATAGATAGAGGAAATTGTTTATTTACTAGATGAAAAAAGGTTAGTTAATTCTTGCCTGACACTCATTTCATCACATAAAATACGTGCCAAGTATGGTATCATAGAATTTTGATACTTTGACTTGCGAGCATACAGTTTTCTGAAGTTGCTTCTTGTTCTACCTGAGGAGATGCAAGGTGAAAGCTGAGGGTAAAGTGGATGCTTCAAGTCAGACAAAATCCCTCTAGCAAATTTATTGCACGAGGTCAAGTGCCTACCGACAACGACGTTAACCAAGTGGTCCACTGACAGTCTTCAGCATTCTACTTATTGTGACATAGTCCTTCTTAAGCAAACCAGGAAAGAATCAGGGTGAACAATAAAGAAGAATAGGTAGGATGCAAGAGTTTATGAACTGTAAGAGGAGGGGTTGAGTTACACCCGAGTGCCTTAACTTCCTAATGTAAAATGTCAGGCGGAATATTTTACTGGAGATCGCTAAGACATGGGAAGACCAGGAGAGATCAGAAGAGGGAAATAAGTTCAAGATACTTAATTTCTGATTTAATTCCTATATCACTGTCGTCAATCTTACAACTGTCATGAGAATCGACAGCTTCTTTTAAGTGTCTTTTACATCTTGAGCTGAAATTAAGCAGTTTGACATGTAGAAGGATTCAGTTTAAGACCGTTAGACTCAGACCATTTACTGACTGCCAACAGAAAGCTATTTATTTTGGTACAGTCTAGCTGGGAGTTAACAGCCATCGACGTGAAGGGGAGCAAATACTGAACATCATATGTTCATAGCATTCAAAGACAGCTGTCAAATACACTAATCTGCCTATTACTCAGATAAAATATTACAGTCTAATGCATTTTATTTGACATTGTCTTTGATTAGAAATAAAATTATTGTTTTATTTATTTAACAATTTTTTTTATTGATTTTGTTGTGTTTTGCATCTCTGTTGTTGTTTATTTTTTTCAACGTTATTTCCCTTTTCTCTGTTTTTCTCTCTCTTTTTTTTCCTTTCCCTATCCATGCATCCATCCATCTATCTATAGATATGGCCAATATTGTTTTTGTTGTCCTCTTCTCAATTGAAATGCTAATTAAAATGTACAGTTTAGGCATAAGATGCTATTTTGACTTTATGTTCAATCGATTCGATTTTTTTGTGGTTATCTGCAGTATCATTGAAGTTGTATTAATTCAAACTAAAGTTATGCCACCGTTAGGTGTATCTGTTCTACGCTGTGCACGTCTACTGCGGGTATTTAAAGTTACAAGGTAAGCGCATTCATGTTATGATAGTGTTCGTTGTTTTTTGTGTTGATGAACTAACTGACTCACGTTTGATAATCCCTAGTATAAAATTTTGTTTTCAGGACTTAGAAGCCGTTGCCAGTCCCTGGTGATTCCATGATGATACAGTTTGTTACTATCCACTTGGGTTCTGAGTGGTACATAGGGCTTCAATAGCATACGTACGCTTGACTTTGTTCTTCGGAGTCCTCTTTGGTTGACTGAATGATTGCCCATGAGTTCTCATCTCCTCCTCGCACAATTTTCACCCTGTCATTCTCGAGCACACGCACAACTCGTTGTTTCCTATCCAGGTTTCGCTCACGTTTGGCGTGTCTCTTCATCTGGCTTCCGCTTCATCAACATTTTCTTCTGTGCAGTTGTTGGGCGGTACGTTCTTGGTTGATTCGCTGAAGTACTGGATTTTCTCACCGCTTATCCTTTCTGGCCATTTAGTTTTCACTGTAGAGTGAGGATGGATGTTGATGAAATTCTGAAATAAGTTATTAGAAATGCTTCCGATGATGTGCACGCCAAGACTCTCAACTATAGAGAAAGGCTGACCTGATATTGATTTTGAAATTCTGGGTCTATTTCCTTATTCTGTGTGCAGTTGCCCTCCACACTTATTTTGGAGTAATGAACGTCTGCCTTGCTTTTCTGATCCTGAAATTTGGCATCCTTGTGATGACAGAAGACAAGGATCAGGCAACAAGTCGTTTATTGAGAATATCAACCAATATTTATGTATTTTTATGTACATTATTATTCGTTATTCTTAGCAAAGAAGCAGCGTCTTCTAATTGGTTGTTTTCTTGCTGAAGTTTATTCTGTCATCTCTTTGTTGCCGTTTCTTAGATGGTCCGTTGATATATCTGCTAATCATATCCGCCCACGCACACTCCGCTGTGATTGGTTATTGATTTAGTCTTTGTTCTTGTTTTTTTCTCATGACCAAGATTTGGGACGTAAATTGTTGTCTACCGATTTTGGCTAGCAGACAGCTCTCACCACATCCTTATACGTGCCACAGTCTGTCCCTGGGATGATGCTGCCATAATAAATGAAAGAAGTGACCTTCGGTTGATACTGATCAGTTATCTTCGTCCTGGTTTCTCTGCCTGCCTCCTCTGCCAGCTTGTTGGTTTTCGGTTTTAGATCTTCCAGTTCGTGTGACAGACATAAATCGTCTGGAAAATGCAAATCTTTTAAAGTCTTCTTGTCATTCGAACGTATTTCCGTCTTCTGGCTTTCCGAGCACTGTATGCCGAATCATCCGGTCCGAAACAATCAGGAATCTCATCGCTGATACTCTTGCCTTTACTTCAAATGCTCTGCTGATTTCTCTGTTTTGAATCACTTGACACAGAGCATTGTCATATAAATGTTGAATGAGGTTGATAAAATTTTGAGGTCTTCAGTAGTGTTGAAGCAGTTTACAAATTACTTCTACGTCAACGCTGTCAAAGGCCTATTTACAGTTAATAAAGTCGAGGTACAGATTTGGCATCCATTCTATTCTCTATTCGATTATGATGTGTAAGATGTTCAGACAGTGTGCGTATTTAATCTTAAACTTTTCTTTGCAAATTTACATATTCTAGGTTAGTAAGTTGAAGTGGAACAGCAGTTAGACTAAAAAACTTGAAATATCTTTCGGGAAACCAGTTTGGAAATCTTCTGCACTCGGCATAATGAAGAAGATTCGCATTTTCAACACCAATATTAAGTCGGTCAGTGCTTTTATACGGGTCAGAAACTTGGCCAGAGTGTCACGAGAAGGATTTCCATCAAGTTGCAAACTTTCATCAACAGCTGCCTTCGCTGGCTCCATACTGAAGATCAAATGGCCGGCCAGAAAGAATAAGTAACAAGAAACCCTGGCTGGGAACAAACCAACCAAGAGCCGATCACCCAAAAAATATGTAGGAGAAAGTGAAGATGGATCGGGCATACATTGAGGAGGCCTTTGAATGAAATCGCACGCCAGTCCAGTGCTCGAGTGGAATCCAAATGGGAAGCAACGAGTGGTTCGTTACACTGAGGGTGGCATGCGGGAGATCATGTGAAGAAGAGATCAGAGACTTTGGGTAATCGTGAACCCAGCTGAGGAAGACAACAGAAAACAGAACTAAGTGAGGATGTGTTGTTGAAGCCCTATGTTCCACTCAGAATGCAGGGGAGTAATAAATGAAACAAATAGTGTTTCGGGAAGTAATGTGTACTTAACATACTAGGGATCCTGTATGAACAACTGACTAAAGGTGACATGATAGAATGTCAAAAGGCTTATCTGTATGACCGTCGACCTTCAGCTTGAGCAGTCGGATTAAACAGTGAGAGCCACCACCCAAAAGCTTTAGACTAATACTTTTAAGGAATTATTTTGGACACAAAGGCTATTAATCATGCCATTCAGTTCAAATAAACATTTCAATTTAAAAAAGAAAACTTAGTGTTTTACATGATGTTACTTTATGCCTTTATTATCTAATTGCAGTCCTCAAGCTGCTTAGAATTAATAGTTACAAGCTCATTGTGAAACTTTTTACAATCTTTCACCTGGTAAGCTTGGCTGAAGTTCTTGAAAATGTCGAAAATCAGTGACTCTAGACTGTTAATGATAAAATAAACCGATTCAGTGATTGTCACTCCTCATATTGATTAAATCCTTTCATCATCTACAAAATTATCCCATCTTCATCACATTTCTGTTTATTATAGTTGCTTGTCACTTTCTCCCTCTACCTTATTATGTGCTTTTCCAATGTGTAGCAACTTGAACTACTAGTAGAGTGTAGAACAAAACGTTCTTGATTTAGGAAAAAAAATCAGTTCACTCCTTCTTATCTGTTACATTTAGAAGAAAAAAAAACTTGATTGAGCTTCACTTGATTTCTTCGCTTTGTATCACTCATATCTGTCTTGCAAAGCATTCTCTTTTTCCAGTTACCCACTCCCCCACACCACCATCACCAATTTAGTGGGCTTTTTCGAAGAGTAGACATTTGAACGAATAAGATTTCTTCAGAAATTTCATCAATCAGTCAGCATAGTTCATTATTAATTCATTCACAAGTGTGTGTGTGTGTGCATAAAAAACTTTCTATGGTTTTACCTTTTTGGGGTAAAAGCAAAATTGCTCTATGGAAATTATTATTGATACTTTGCTGCTGGGCACTTCTGGCAATTTAGCTGTTGTCTGCTCCCTGTTAGCCTCCAGTATGCAATCGAATTTTTCCAATTTGATTGAAAGGTGAAAGTGGACAGTACTGATTTTTGACAAAAGCATGAATTTTTCATTCGACGCATGTCATTCAAATTTTGCCTAATACTTGGCATATTGTACCTGTAGTATCTCTTTCAAAACGGGTATGTACTGGATAGACAAACAAAACTCTAGAGGATCTGAAAATTTGTGGACAATTAATTCATGTCTAGTGTCAATCAGATCTGGAAACCTACTGGTCTGCAAACCGATAAATTGACAGAAGAGGCAGACAGAAAAGATTGGGACTTTAAGTGAACTATTTGGAGGAGACAGAGATGATGAAGATAGTCAGTCAGCAGTCACCATCAACGGACGAAATCTATAGGAATTCGTGTCCTTTTCACTTAGTCCGACATCATTGTTTCAACTAAAGTCGGTGGCATGAATGAAGATGTCACAGTCAGATAGCATAGGGTAGGAGGAGGAGCGAGAAAGGCGCTCACCACCCTTTAATCGGTGTGAAGATCTACGGAACTCAGCATGTACATGTGGTTCAGAGACTTGCTGTAAATATCGCCAAAAGAATTTGCAACAGCTAACTGGAGAATTTAGTCAACAGCGAAGATTAGAGGGTGAGAAAAGTTAAGCAAAAAAGAGTTTTGGCAGTCCAGTAAACCGACCAATCAAAGGCCTATCGCCTCACAAATATGCAGATGAAATTGAAGATGGATTGAAGACAGTTAATGGAGAAGACAGTTATGTGGCATTAGCCGCCATCCTTATAAACCAACTATAGAAAATTAATCTGATGCTCGCTGGTGACTTGCTACAAAATGGAGTTTCCTGGAGTTCTAGTTAGAAGTCGTAACTAGTGATGTCCAACCAGTTGGGAGTGAGGATGAATGTCCCACTGATGACAGTGGTTGGTGCTAGTCGTACTAAGTCACGAATTGGTAGAAGTTAGAATTCATGCACCGGCCATTGAATTGGATCCCAGGGGTGGCTGAATGGTATACGACCTCGCTGGCCTTGTAACTGGAAGGTCCTGAGTTCGAACCCTGGAGGTGGGTGCATACTGCCGATGATCACCAAACTAGTGGGATGAAACAGTCGGCTGTCCAGTACTCCGGTACTGGTTTTTAATGGTTCTCTGACTGGTATCAATCCGTGATCAACTCGTAAAAACAAAACTAATCCTTACAAACCAAACTATAGTGGAGGGAAATGACGAGTTGGACGTCTCTTCGAGAGTAACATGGAGGAGGAAGTGCTAGGAGGAATCGTGGAACCAGATGAAAATGCATGTGAGGAACTCAATGAAATGGACATGTGCTGCTGAAGCCTTATTATCCACTCGGAACCCAAGGAAATAATAATAATGTAGTATCTGTATTGTGACCCGGTATTTCTTGTTTCCTTTTTCAGGGTCCTTACTGTTTGAATATTTGTCTCTTAAAGCGACATGACCCATTCTACTAATATATACTGTTGAAAGTAGCATATCATCAAACTAAGATGATGTTTTAAAATAAAGTGTTGGTATGACGCTTAAGAATGTAGTCTGATTTGATTGAACCATGGTTTCAAAACCCTCCCACACGTTGGTTTTTATTCCTTTACGTTCCCAATAGAACATAGGACTTCGAGCTAGAGGCTTGAAGTTTCAGTAGCAGTGGCGTTTATTTTTATGAAATGGAGTTGCTATTCTCATGCCCAACATTCCTTATTTACCAGTCCTATTACTAGCTTAGAGAGGTAAACGAGTGCGTAAGCC